AGGAGCTACGCACAACTCTTTTTCAGCAGCCGTAGCCCAACAGGTCGAAGAGTAGCAAGACTCCAGGAAAACCCGAAGCGCTGTAGCCGGCTGTCGTAGAGCTCGAAAGCACAAGCCGCTGCAGACCAAAAAGCGGAAACTGAAGCCTTGTTCCACCTGTGAGCTCGCGGCCACAGCGGCGGGAGCAGCGTGCGCCGCCACCCCAAACAGCTTAGTAAGCGTCAACCACTGCTGTAGAGAAGGCGAGCAAAGCCGGTTGGTAGAAGACACAAGCAGCAGTGACACGGCGTCGGCTCTCGGACGGGAGCTTCGGCACGACCGAGAGGGCCGCCACTTCTTGAAGATAAGACTCCAAGGTGACAGCATGTCTGACCCTCATCCTCCACATCAAATCTTGTATTCCGACGCCTTCCTTGTACGCCTTCACTGCACCTCCGCCTCGGAGCCCTCCAGGCGTGAGGCCAGCGGATTTTGGAACCGACAACAGCAGAAGCAGCTCGTCCCAGCGTTTCCGGAAGGCAGAGGCTGAACCTCGGTAGAGCCTCTCATCAGGAGGCACGCGGCTGTACACGTATTCCAGAAAAGCGCTGAAGCCGGCGTCCTTTATGCAGAGATGCTGGACCCGGCCTTTTCCCCGGAAAGCAGTCTTCGGGCCTCGTACAGCCATAAAGGTCCCTGTCGCTAGAGGCGACAAGGCGTCGGAAGGCAGCAGAAGATCCTTTCGGAGGGCTCGTAAAGGCTCTCCCGCTCTGGCGATGCCATGACAGGCTATACCAAAGATAGAGCACCAGCGAAACCATCCCCGCAGCAGCCCTAAAGCAAACATCGCTTTGTATAGGGCCTCAGGCATAGGAACTCGGTGCTGGACAGGCTCGACTCTCTCCCAGCGCGACAGCAGATCCCAAGCCATGGGGAGGTAAGGTCGCAACCCCAGCCGATTCTTTTGCATGTAAGCCAGCAGGTGGCGGTAAACATACATGGGGCCTTTGCTGCGGTAGAGGTGGTCTCCGTAAGCCCGGATCATGGTGCAGTAGGCCATGGCGCAGCTCGAGAGGCTACCAAGAGCAGAGTCGCTAAGCCCTGAACGCAACCAACCCTCAAAGTCAGCAAGGACACGGTTCTGCAGCTTCACGGTGGTCTCGGTGACGAGGTTGACTTCCTCCAGAGAGCCAAAGTGGGGTTGCCGGGGTCGAAGTCCAGGGTTTGTCGCCTCTCCCATTCGCGCTCCCAAACAGCGAGCGCAAGCAGCTAGGTCCAAGCGCCTTCTCGAGCGGGGAGACTCGAGTTCGCCAAGTGGTGTGCCAGCAAAGAGTTGACCGCTCGGGGGTAGGCTTCGGCGACTTTGGTCCACTGCCTGCGGTGGTAGCTAGAATAGCCCACCAGTCGTTGATGCTTTCTGCATCCAGGGCAGCGGACCTCTTGGCCGCCCAGTTCACGTCCAACGAAGAACCGTGTCCGCTTTCTCCAAGCAGTGCCGAAGGCGCAGTAATCCAGCACCCAGCAAGAATCCCTCCAAGGTTCTCCGAGTAGTTTCTTGATGGATGGCACCTCCCAAAAGTAGCTCGCGTGGGGGTTCTCGACCCAGTAGGGGAGGGACAGGAGCTGAAACTCTGAGACGAGGGCGGCAACGAAGTCGGCGTGCTGGTTGCCCTCCATGACCTTAGTGAGCATACTGGAGCGAAGGCCCGGCAGTCCCGTGGGGTTAGCTTTGTCTCTGACCGGGGGCCGTATCGCCCGCGAAAAAGACGAGCACACAGGCCCGGCACCGAGACCGGCAAAGGCACGGCGTCGCGTCAGTTCCAGAAGCGTCTGCTGAAGCCCGGGCTCAAGGAGGTCCTCGGCAGCGGAGCGGGCGTAGTCGAAGGTCAGGACCCAGGTCCCGCTGGCTGCTGCAAGCTCATGCGCCACTCCCGCGCTGCCGGAGTAGAGGTCCAAGTAGCCGGGGCGGAGCAAAAGTTCAGAAAGTCTTTTTCTGCTCTTCTTTGGAAGGACAAACTGCTCAGGGTCAAACTTGGCAAGGCATCCGTGATGTGAGGGTGGAAGTCAAACACACAGCCGTCGCCCGCCGTCTCGTCGACGCGGCGCCGCTGCTCTAACTCATCATCTTTCCATGCTACCAAAGAACCGACTGGGCCGGCCGAAGCGGGCACAGGCGGCGGCTTCAAAGATCGAAACTTCTTGTACATGTCTTTCGGGAGGTGGTAGCCGGCTGCAGACAAGAGCTCCGCATCGGCCCGGGCAAGCTTCAAGTAGTCCCGAATGCTGTAGAGAACCAGGACCACTCGCTCGCCACGCCACTCCCGAGTGAGGTGCCACGAGCGGGGGGGAGAAAAACCACGCCATTGTTGAACACAAGGCTACGCCCGCGGACCTCCTTCCCGTTGATAGTCTCCACCTCCGTTCCATCTGAGTCGGCGACCCATATCTCGCCCCCAGAGAAGGGGCTGAGTTTGACTATCATGTTCAAGCTGGAAGCACTGTTGTGAGAGTCTCGGTGGGCCGGAGTCTTAAGATTGGTCAGGAAGACGAAGCTGGTGTACTCGTGGTCCGGGTAGTGCTCGGCCGCAAACTTCGCGATGACCTGCTCGGACAAGGGGAAGCTCCTGCTGTTGCGACGGACGCCAGTCACGCCGCCGTGAACAAAAGCTCCGCCGCTGAAAGAACCAGCTGCGTCATCTCCGGACCCCCGAGCGGGTGCTTTTGGAGGGAGGAGGCGGCTGAGCTCCAGGAGGTTCTCGGCAGTCAAGGTGGCCCGAGAGAGGAGAGACCTAGCGAGATCCTCAGCTTCGTGGGGCTGCTCAGGCTTCCCAAGCTCTCGTAGAAAAAGAGCCCGAGCATCTTTTCGAGAAAGCTTTGGCTCTGGCACAGCGAGGGGAACGATGCTATCGAAAGGCGGGAGCCCCAGCATATGCTGACCGTGTCCAGGTCGTAGCTCCGCAGGAACTCCTCCAGCTCGTCGAACATACCGCCGAGGGCGTGCTCCATCCATCGGGGCATGGCTTCGCGAGGGTCGCGGACTTTGGCATGCCTCGTGGGGTCATCAGCGGGGTTGTCGGAGGTCCCTACGTAAGCATAGATCCCGCAAATGTCTGCAGACAAGTGCTCGGGTAAGCTCTGCCGAAGAATTCCATTGAGTCTGGGCGAGGCTGACCGCCCCTTGAGCACGGCTCCTAACGAAACCTGAGAGTCACTGGCACTCACGACGCTAGAGGCAGGACACTGCAAGCCGCGGCGGCGTTCGGCCGCCAGTAGGGTTCGCACTGAACGTTGATGCGCCGGGGCCTCCATATCCGCCGTCTCCAAACCTCGCTGAACTTCACAGACCTGAACAAGGTCTGCCATACAGGATGGTAACCGAACTGGACCCCGCCGGGAAGCTCTTCGCTCGGGTCCAGCTCGCTAATAATTCGAGCTGAAACTTGGTGAGGGCGGAGAAGCTTCGTCCACACTGACTTCCTGAGACTGTGACGGCTCAACTCAGCAACAAAAGCCTCTGGAAAGGTTTGCGACACTTCGGCTTCCCAGCTGCCCGAGGAGTCCGTGGCCGACACCTCGCAGCAGTACTTGCTGCGCAAGTTGAACCTGACGGCGGGGGAGACCAACACCAGCATCCAGAGCTCGGCCTCCAAGGCTGGCCAAATTCGAAAGGCCTTGTGCTCGTCCAGCCAACGGGGAGCCTTGAACACTTCCTCCAGCAACGACATGCACCTTCGTCGGAACTGGAAAATGGCAACAAAGAAGCCCGCTATAGACGCAAGGATATGTCGGGTGGCCGCCTTGGTTTGTAGGATGTCCACGGTGATCGAAATCACGGGGGTCAGCCTGGAAGTGAGCGGCCGGCAGGTCCCGGCGTCCCCGTCTATCTCAGCCCCCCACACTTCAGCTTTCAGCTGCTCGCTGAAGGACTTCTTGAAATTCTGCAGCAGACCGCCTTTGACGTAGGCGCTCTCAGCTCGCTTGAGACGGAGGGCCCCAGCGCTCGTTCCCTTTCCCAGCTCACCGACCTGAGACCGGTCCATCTTTTCAGCAAGAAACAGATCATCAATCACGACTCCGCCTGCAATGGGTGTCCGCGGAGCCCGGGACTTCAAAGTCAGCATCTCCTCCGGACGGAACACATCCGCTTGCAAACTGAGAGAAAGATGGGAAAGCTGTCCGAACTCCACGCTGTTGAGGTCGCCCATCGCCATACTGTTGAGCGCGGCACGAAAGGGGCCTTGTCCAGTGAGATGACTCTCGAAGCAGCTGAAAGTCCGGGCTGTAGCCTCGCTGACGGAGCCCGCGAGCGCGTTCCTCAACAAGCGCTGGCGACTGATAACGAAGTGGTCGTAGTAATCCTTAAGGTCGGCACCGGAGAGCACAAGGACTTCTCGGTCTTCAAGTCGAATCTGAAGGATAGCCTCGGCACAGCCGAGAGATTGCGTCCACCTGTTCAAGCCAGTTTCGAGCAAGTTTGGGCCCCTAGCGTCCAGAATCATCCGATCAGCGGTCAGCGACTTGGGCACGCTAAACAAGCCGTTTAGGCAGTGAGAGCGAGTAGAAGACAACGGAAGGAACCTCAGCCTCCCACTTTGGTCCAGCTTCTTGAAAAGGGCCAGCTTCTCCGCAGGGCTGGCAAGAATGCGGGCTTTCGGGGGAGGCTCAGGGCTTTCGTCTTCGGGAACTGCATGATCTAGCGGATGAAGATAGCGGTCGAGGCTGGTTTCGTCCATGTACTTCGCAGGGTGGAACTGAGGAGCCTTGCCAAACTCTAGCCGGGAAGCAACGACAGGTTTTGCCACAGTCCCCCCGGCAAATTCTCCGCGAGCCTCGCTAGCGAAGTCGAGCTCGACGGGGTCCCCTGTTCGGGGAGCCAGGGCACTTTGTCCATATCCTCGACAGAGCACAGCAAGCTTCTCAGACTTGTAGCGAAGAGAGCGGGCGATGTCCTCAAGGGTTTCGATCTTCGAAGCCACACGGCCCATGTCCTCGGCAGACACAGGCGAGTGGCAAATAACGTCTCGCATCATCTCCTCTAGCCGCTTCACATGGGAGGCCTGCTCGTCATCAAGAGAACGCCGGCCTCGGATGCAAAGAGGAGCCGCTCGACACCTGCCAAGATGTAGCCATGACAAAGAAGCCACCAGCAAATTTGAGGCGGTCTTAAGGGCATGCTCCTGGCGGGAATCGGGACAGCTCGGGCTCGGTATTTTCCGCTCTCCGCAGACCTCATAGTAAGGCAAAGGCATGGGCCAGGGAGACGATGCGGTCCTTCCCTCTTCGGGATGTTCTCGGGCTTCTTGAAAGTAGCTGCTGAAGAAATGAGAAAATGAATTGTCAGTTGCAAGCAAAAGTCGAGGCAGAGCTTTCCAGAGGGCGACGGGATCAACGGTTTTTGCACAAGATCCGGGAACCCTTACCAGTTCCACTGAAGTCCTCGCAGTAGCAGCCTCGGTCGTAGTGCCGTGGTTTGTAGGCTCAAAAGTCACTTCTCCTCCGCCGTGGCACCCTTCGTGCCGCGGCCTCTCCCTTTCGGGGGCCTGCGAGGGCCCCCCGGTGCGTCCTCGGTCTCGGTCCGCTGAAGCGGAGCACCACCATCTTCGGGCCGTCGCGAACCTCCTCCGGGACCGGCAGCAAGTTTCCGCCTGGACTCCAGGTAGAGGTCGACCTCCCGGAGCCGGGCGACGAAGATCTCGATCCAGCGGGCGTCGATCAGCTTCGTGAAGGGCACTTCGGCGCCCGTGGGCAAGGTGTGGCTTGCAAAGGACGGGAAGGGAGGCGGGTCCTCCAACAGGACTTCGCCCGCCACATTCCAGTTTCCTCGGTCTATCGACAGCTGGTCCCCGGCCGCAAGTCCTAACAGAGACCGCAGGTATGCTTCCTCGTAGTTGGATTCTCGGAGGCAGTCGGCGATCCCCGCGATCACCCAAAGGAACCGGATGGTCGAGGGATAGCTCTGCACCCTCGATCTGCTTTCCAGCCATGCTCGGCAGGTCACAGGTACCTGCCCCGACCCCGGCAGCGAAGACCTTAGTGCGAAGTCGGCCGTCAAGTTGCGTTCGATGACCTTCGTGAGCTCCTGAGGGTGGCTGTGAACTCGATCTCGGAGAGCTCGTAGAGCCGCGGCGCTTTTCCGCGAAGGCGTAGTCGAGGATGAGGGCTCGCCCGAGCCAGCAACGCCTCCAGGCTTACTTCCTTCCTTTTGCCATCCGCGAGTTGGGCAGCGATCGCCGTGAGCTTTTCGACCGCCGTGTGGATGGGGTCTTTCTCCTCCTCGGCAGGGGCGGCCGGCTCGTCTTCGGGGTCCTCGTCGTCCAGCTCGTCCTCGACCTCGTTGGACCTCCGTGCGAGCCGGGCCCTGGTAGCTCGCGGCTCGTCGCCCGTCACCTTCCCTTGGCTCCGCAGAAATCGGCCCATCTCCTCGATGTGCTTTACCGCAATCCCGGAGTCCATGGCCGCCTTCACTACAGCAGGGTCCAGGCCGTCGAGCTTCGGGGAGGGCGCCTTGGTTGAAGGAGGTCGGGCTGCTGGCTTTGGTTCCGAAGGAGCCTTGGCAGTCGGGGGGCTTTGGCGAGAGGTCAGCTTCTTCAAGTCCTCCTGGATGCTTCGGAAGCATCCTTCCAGACGGCCGAGGCGCTCTTCCACGCCCTGGTCCTTTTGCGCTCTTCCGCCTTCAAGGCCACCAGCCGCAGCACTCTCTCCAGTGAGGAACTCAAAAGTGTTCTTAGCTAACTCACCTAGGGCCTCGGCGTGTGGAAGGAGCTCGGGCTGCTCGCTGGTCCCGAAGCTGTAGGAAATCTCCAGCTCGTCGTCAAAGTCCCGGACGAAGTCAAAAGCGGCCCCTTCCGCAGTGAGGAGGCCCAGACACACCCGGAGCTCGGACTCCAAGGCCTTCGAACGGTCTCCTGAGTCCGCACACTTGGCCCGAGCCGTAGAGACCTTCCGGACGAGGTCCAATCCAATCACTCGCTTAGCAGCAGCTCGGTTCCAGCACTTCGCCGGGAAAGCGACTATCAGAGAGCCGTCCGCGCTCTCCCCGATAGCCGCTGCTGCCACAAAGCGGCGGTCACCAGCCTCACCGACAGAGAGGACGCCGAGCGGGTAGTCGAAGACGATCTCGTCGCCCCGCACGATGAGGTTCTCCCGGACCTCCTCGGCGTCGGCGCCTTCGTCCTCGCCCTCAGTTTCGGGCATCCGGCCAACTCAAGTTGGCCCTGGCCACAGCACGTCGAGCCTCCCAGGCAGAGGCAAACCCGATGAAAACAGCTGCTCCCGGGTCCTGGCCCGGTCCGAAGTGGGACCTGAGATCTGAAAGGCGCGAGTACACCCGTACAGGATCGAAGCACTGCCCGCGGTGGTCCCGAGCAATCACGTAGATGCGGGAGCGGAGGTTAAGGCGTTCTCGGCCGGAGTTCCCCACCCCACGATCTTCGAGTCCTCGCCGAAGCCAATCGCCGATCTCGTCCGCCAGCTGTTGTCTCTCCCGGTCACTGATCACAGGGGCAGCCGATGTAGAGCCGCGGGCCGAAGCCTGCAAGGGGTACTCCTGAGCGGGAGGATTCGCTGGCCGCAGACTGCCCGTCCTTGGTGGGGTAGAGGTGACTACGGAGAACTCGGAAGAGCTTCCCGCTCGGCTGAGAGGGTCCCCTCGCACCTGACGCTCCAACTCCTCGATCCGTTCCTCAGCAGCCTCCAGACGGATGCTGAGTCGAGCAAAAGCGGCCTCAAGTTGCCGAAGCTGCGCACTCATGCACGGCCGCTGCCCTTGAGACTTAGAGTAGCCAGCCGGTTCCGAAGCTCGATCGAGAGGTACTGCTTGAAGAGGTAGAGCAGGTCGAGCAGGGAGGAGAGGAGGATCCCTATCAGGACGCCCGCAAGGAGGCCAACCCAAAAAGCCGGAGGCAGATCCGTAGAGCTCTCAAGAGCGATCGGTTGGCCGAGGATGCCGGGCTGCTCGTAGCTTGGGGAAGGCTGCAGGTGCTGGCTTAACAGAGTGAAAACCAAAGAACTAAGCGACCCTGCTCCAGCGCTGACAGCTAAAGGCCTTCCGCTCATACGAGCCTTGATCCTCAAAAGCTGAAGGAACCAGCATCGTTGTCAGCATGAAGGGACATGAACATGGTTTGTGTCTGCGAGAGAGAGAGAGAGAGAGTGTGTGTGTGTGTGTGTGTGCGTTGTGTGTGTGCGCTGTGCTGGTGTTATGTGAGACGTTGCATCCTTGCACTTGACAGCCTTTACAGCACTAGCCTGCATCAGAACTCAAATTTTACAAAGGATCTGCACTGCACTATGGTAGCAGAATATCTTGAGCTTCCCCTTTAGATCTCCTGTCAATGCCTCCCACTTCTGGGACCTCGGTGCATCCGACAGTCGGGTATGCCGTAAGTAACAACATCCACAAGAGCTTCATAGTAATATGTCGCCCGATGTTACTAGAATAGACTATATAACATAGCAGTAGTCTATAAAATAAGCCCGTTTCCCCTAGCCTCGAAGAGCTTGAAGCGCGAGAGCTGCGGTCTTGCAAGCCTGGAATGGGCAATGGAACAGAGTCTGCAGGACCCGCTGAAGCCCCAAACCCTGAACTTTCAGACCCAAAACCCCAAACTCGCCCTAAACCCTAAAACCTAAACCCCTACCCCAAACCGTGAACCCTGAACCCTAAACCCTAAACCCTGAAGCCCCAAACCCCCCAAAAAATATTCGAGGTTCGGCCCTCTCCGGCACAAAAAAACGCTAAGCTTCCAGCCCGAGCTCACGAAAGACCTCAGCCTCGGTAGACAGGCTTAGGGTGTTCTTAGGGAGGTTTTAAGGAGTTTTTAGGCGGTTTGGAAAGGTTTGTAGGGGTTGACCAGAGTAGGGTTTTCATGGGGAGTCCGAAAGGTTGGGGGTTTAAAGGGTTATTGAATTCCGGGGTTTAAGGGGTTTCGGTGTTTGGGACTGAATTGACTGAAAGGACTTGGGGATTCAGGGATCAGGGCAGAAGGGTGTAGTTCAGAGGTTTAGACTCTAGGGCTTGTAGGTTGATAGCTCAGAGTGAGGAGATTCTTGGGATGTTGTATTCTGAATAGCATGCGATGGAGTTCGGCATTTGATCGTGTCGAAACAGTTGGTGTCATTCCGGCATGTCACATCTCGTCGGGTCGATTTATTTTGTACTACATGACACTAAATGCGGGCAATCCACCGCATTGCACGACTCAAAGCCATTGCACGGTCCTTGCTTTTGATTTGTGGATACAGAATCGGAAATTTCAAGGACTGCCTGCCTACATGAATGGAATCTCCCTCTTTGGCACTGAGCAGACAGCCTCACTGCCGAAACGCCGAACCCTAAACAGCCAAGTAGAGCTGGCCCGGGCCACGGCGGCCACGACCCATTGGAAGCAAGAAGAGTCAGAGCGGCCTGGGATCTGCTGGCTTCCGGTTTCTGGTTGAGGGTTTTGGTGGTTTTGGCGGTTTAGGGTGTGCCGGGAAGTAACACATCGGCGACGGCGACTCGGGCGACTTGTGACAGCCAAGTCTAGTGCATAGCGTGCTCCGGTACAGGTGGGCGGCCTATGCTTTGAGTTTACTGTAGGGCAAAAGCATTTACGCCTGACAGTGCAACGGCCTACGTCGTCAACTGCAGGTGCCAGCAAAACATTGGCGGCAGCTCACCTATCTTCTGAGCTGCGCGCGGCAAGCCAGACTGCCGACCATCGACGCGTCATGACCTGAGCGGCAAGCTTCAAGCCTGAATGGCTACTGAGCTCTTCGCGGCTTCAATCCTTGATGCATGCGTCGGTGATCCCGATCCCTCATGCTGCATGCTGCTAAAGGCTTCATGCACTCGAACATGTCGGTGGCACGGGTGACACCCGGACCAGACGGAAAGAGCTCATGCTCATGTTGGGAAACCGTGGCGCCTTGGAAGTGGACACAGCCATTGGCAGACTCCACGAGGAACCCACGGTTAGAGTGACTCAACTCAGCTTCGTGGCTAGGGTGCTGTCAAAGCTCTTTGACTCGACAGTGCTGGTGCGTTTAGGAAATTGGAAGTTTCCGAGCTGTGACTGGGAGCCTAAAGGGTGACAAACAAGTCGGTCCTGTTCCAAAGACACTCTGAGCGATTCAGGTTCGAACTTCGAATCCCGCGCTTCTGAGCTCCAATGGACCTTTTATCGAATCGCCCGCTCTCGCATTTGCGAGGGGTTCTTAACAGATTCCGCAGCTCTATCGGGCAGCTTCGCCCCAGCAGCTCGCGCCCAAGAAGGCCCAGCTCTAGGTCAGTCCACGTTATGAGGACGCCTATAACGACTAACACATAAGACTTGCAAGGGCAGGCTTCTGTGGTTTTTCAGAAATAATGCCTCCCCACAAGCCTGGAAAAAAAATGCCAGAATCATCTGCTTTGAAGCACAAGAAACCTAGCTTGGCAGCTTGCCTGCTCGTACAAAACCTGACACTCTGCCGTGCAGGAAGTCCAGCAGATGTGACAGAACGCTACCAAAACACCCTTAAGTCATGTCTTTTGACGAGACTTGACAAAATTAAAAGCCCGTGCTCAGTGCAGGTCCTGAAGGCCCTGCAAAGTTATCCACCTGCAGTAAGGATGGCAGCCTTAGCCTTCATGCCTACATCCAGGCGGCCTCGGACTAGCCTTCGTGCAGAGCTATGAAGAAAAGACACAGGTACATGCTGCTGACAGCCGGACATGCCTAGATGCAAGAGTGTATGTATACACACACGATTGATAAGCACATGTCTACACAGACGCCTGTACCTTATAGGTGGACCAGACAGACAGACGGACGGACGGACGGACAGACAGACAGACAGACAGACGATAGGCAGATAGACAGATAGATAGATGGATAGAGAGAGATAAAAAGAGATAGACCAATCGGCAGATGGAACTGTATGTAGATGGATCGACAGGTACAAGCATAGCAGGATAGGTATGAGCGCGTGGATATATAGGCATAGATACACACACATACCCCTTGCAACTCTAGTCTCAGGTAATCGCTGCAAAAGCAGCTGAATTCCGAGATCGCTTCGTCTATTTTGTGATTGCTCTGTTCCGGTCATGTACACTAAGAGATGTTCATTGTATTCATGACTCGCTACAGCCGAAAACTGAGACACCCAGGTGGTGTTGGGAAGAAGCCTCTTTGCACTGGAGCCTCAACTCAACAAGCATTGCCTGTGCTGGCTATGCCAGCAATGTAAGTCGTTACCCGAGATCAGGGCTCCATTTCTCAAGGCTCTTTCGAAGGATCCCAACACTTAGGGCCTTAAATGCTCGGGCTCCTGATGCGGACTCTCGTGAGAAAACCTCTTATCCGGAAAGTTCTAAACTTCCCCAGAGCACGTGTCTTAGATATGCGAGTCAGCGGCACTGGCATAAAGCTCTAGCAGCAGGACTGGAAGATGTCCTGGCAGAGGGCGAATTCAAGTCTTGCGCGATGAGTATCGGGCAAGACCGTACGTAGGACTTTGAGGAATGTAGCGGAGATACTGTTGAGTCGGGCCTTGAGTTGACCTGCGGGCTTTGCGCCACAAAGCGGCTTGACGCTCTTGGGTCGCTTTGCGCCACGAGGCGGCTTGAGGCTCCTACTCAACTTTCCGAAGTCCCGGGATCCGACGTCCCCTCGAGTCCGGAAACGGAGGGCTTCTGATCCGGCCTTCACGTGCGTGAAGCTCTTGTCGTTGTCGCAGTACTCCATGCACTTCTGCTTGCCCCCGTCAGTGGTGTCCTCGGTCCGGACCCGATCTGAGGTCTCGCCCTTTACAGCCGAAACTTGCATCCTGGCTGCGAGCACACCGTGGCACAAACGCTGGCAGAAATGTACCCTGCGACCTGCAGCAAGGGGCAAAGCTCGCATTTTTGTGCAAAGCATACCAAAAGAAGTACACTAGAATGTGCTGGAAGGTACTGGAGCATACCACACTGAAAGAGTAACGACTGAAATCTCCTGACGAGGCGCTGCAGTGCAAAACGGTATTGTTTGCCGCCAGGGTAACCTCGTGCTGGCTGGAGATTGGAAGACGGGTCAACATCAACCACAACCGCATCAGCCGCATCAGGATCGAACCGCCACCATCATGATCCACACTGCAAGCGTCATGGCATCTGCGGCAGAGCTTGTATCAACAAGCTTGATCGACAGCGAATATGTGCAACTTAGCGACGCCATCGCCGTTGCGCCGCTGCAACATCCCGACTTCGTCGCTTTCGGAGCCTGGCAGGAAGCACTGCACCGTCGTCACACACACTGGCCGATTGCTATAGCTGCTGTGACGTACGTGGTGTTCTTGCCTCACTAGAACTTCCGACCATGCCAGATCCGGCAACGAAAAGCCAAGGAACGCTGGAGCAGGGATGCATCTTCGCAGATGTGGTCCTCGCAATACTCGTCCTTCTCCTGATGCACGTCAGTCAACCCCCTTTACAGATGAAAACCCAAGTTTGAACTAGATGCGAGTAACCACCTTGCATGTGTCTTAAATAAGAGTGCTAACAACCCTGACAACACCCCGAGCCCCAGTCACCAGGAATAAGCCAAAGAATCCCAATAGCCCTCAAAGCCCAATGTTCCAGGCAGGATCCCTCTTAACGTAACCTTGATGTTCCTAGTACGGTAACCCTAAGAGAGCCCGTCACCCCCTTGTAGCCCTTGAATCTTCCACTTGAGAGGCGGGCTCCTGCATGATAGCCCCGGCATCCCAGGTGCAGTGCTCCGCATCCGGAGTCAGTTCGTGGCAAAGCTCTTGTCCCAGCCTTTTAGCGAATAGGGCAGGAACTTCAAGCGGGGTTGAAACACTCACTTTGTGTTTTGTCCAGGGTTGTTATGGAGGCTTCTTCATACAGTTGCTTTGAAATGCTTCAGGCATTTCTGGATTTAGACATGTATTTGTCTCGTCTGGCCCATGGAGAATAGAGTAAACATACATCCTTGATGTGGTAGACAGTCAGACATCTTGTCACTTTGATAGCATAAGGTACAGTAATCTATACTGTACCTCCTACCTCCAAATCAGTACACCAAGCCGTGTATGACGGGAGCCCGGCCTGTCTCCCACGCAACGGTCAGCGGAGTCCTTGGGGGATCGACGCGGATCCTGATCTCCTCGAAGCTCGGTTTTTGTCCGTGTGCGGGGCCCGGAGGCGCTGACGACACCATTGACCCCACACTGAAAGCCTAAATCCTAAATGATACGCACTCTGAAGTGAAAACCCGAGCCGAGTTGTCGAAAGTGTCCTGCGTTCTTGGCGACCGCCACGCGGTTGTTGGGCTCCGCATTGCACACGTCCTGATTGCGGCCAAGGCAAGCGGCTACAAGCATTCCTGCTGTCAAATTCCCATGAGTACGAATGCTTCAAGGTGTCCGATACGCAGGCACCGAGGATGAAGTCAACGCGGCATTCGTCGTCGTTCTTGCAACCCTGACGGAAGCACATTGAGCAAACTAGTGGCTGCCACACGAAATCCCCCAACCGAAACCCCTTAAACTTGAAACCGCGCGCCCAGAATGAGTTCAAAATCCCAAAATCCCAAGAACCCCAAGCGAGCACTTGGGCTCCAAAGCCTTGCGATCCCACTCAGCGCGATGCAAGAAGGGAGCTTTGGCCTGCAAGGCAGGGGCTTGCCACGAAGTGACGTCCGACAGCAACACTACTACGTCTCTGAGGAGCAAGAGTAACGATCGTATCAACTACTACGATACTAGAATGATGAAAGTAGGGACGATGACAATGGTATTCAGAAGAAACCCGCAACGTGTTGCTCGCACTGTGTATTATTCTCTTCTTCTCAGTAGTTTCAGCTTTGCTACTGCGGTTGTGTTGCATTCTTGTTTCATTGCACTTCTTTGCTCACGACCACCCAAATCCCTTGAGACCATATAGCCCTGTCAAGACCTGAAAAGTCCTCTATAACTCCTCTCCATGACTCATCCCGGGCTGCCTTGCACAGCTTGATGGCATCTTCGAGCTTGAAGGCATTGCCGGACGCATCCACCTGCATCGCTGGATGCCTAGAGATATTGTAAAGATTGGGACTAAGTCTTTAGGGTTTCGAAATCCGTGCAATATCCAGCAATGACAATGATGATCTAGGATGACTGTATGCAAGGCGAAAGCGGAGACCTTGTCGTCGCACACGTAGCGCTTGTCCGGCCTGAAAGACAAGTCTGCACTGAAGACCCCTGAGCCTCAAGATACACACCCCGAATAGACGTACGTGTGTGCGTGTGTGTGAACTAAGGGAGGGCTGCAGCAAGTGCGGTTTTCCATGATGGGCCCTTGCAGTTGGCTGTGTGCTTGTCCTCCGTTGTGGTCCCTTGGAGGGTTCTTTGAAGATCTTTGAAGCATTGTGACACAGGCTACTGACATGGCAGTGAGAAAGCGACCGAGCCGACTTTTGCCTGACTGCAACACAGATCTGTCGCTCGCTCGTAAACGACAGCATCCGATGGTAGGAGTCAGAATAAGAATCACGAGATCATGTGTAAGTGAAGGTGATAACAGTGACAATGATGAGATAACCGTTGATGCCACAGACGAAATGCAACAGCGACAACAAGAACAGCAGTGATAACCAACAACAGCAACATAAGCGGCTGTCAAAATGGCAAGGTTCACCAGCTGCAACGTCTCCTTGCACCTGTCTGTGCCAGTGGCACCGAAATCAGTGCGGCGAACCGTTAACACCATGACTGCGGCTGACTGCGGGTATGATTGGATCTACCAAGAAACGCACACAACAGAAAGTAGAATCCGACCACTAGAAGGCCAGCCCTGATGATATCCGCGGGTCCGTAAATACAAGTTTAGCGAGGCACCAGCGTCCCTGCTAGGAGCGATTTCAACGCGGGATTCTGGCATAGGCGTGAGCATGCGATTTGCATCCAACGACGCACATCAACCTGCGCCCACAAAAGAGTGTAGTAACGGGATGTGACGGGAGCACGCTTAGGCCTCTTTGCAGTGGAGTTTACAATGCGTGAGTTTCCCAGGAGAGGGCCCGAGAGCGAATGACTCCGCAAATGACTCCGCGGAAGCGGCACTAATAGCACTCCGGACTCCTTCTCCCTCAACGTAAGAGGCCCCCTGTAGCATTTTACCACGGTGTTGTTCGTTTGGTGACAGACAAGAATCATCAGAAGGGTCAAACACGTTCTTGTGAAGGAAGAAAGTACTCACCCTACAGCAACCATGTCAAACCACGAGCAGTTCGAGCGCCGCGCCCGGGGGAGGAGATGTCTGGCTTCTTGCACACGCAGTTCAGGTCGTAGTACTCTTTGGAGTCGCAGTCGGCCCTGCAGGTGGAGCCATGCTCAGAGAACCCGACAATCTCTACCTGAATGCGCGTCTCTGGATCCATCGGTCTAAGCATCTGCTCTCCCGGCACCTCTGCAAAGCACCCTTGGATCCGAATTGCTTCGCACAACCTGTGACAAACTTCACCAAGATGCTTAGACACGTTCTCGGTGAAGCTGCAGGGGGCAAAGTCCACGTTGTCCCTGCGGTCAGATGACATCCAACGACACGGCTGGTTCTCAAAGCGGTTGTCGCAACGAAGGTCTCTTTGCTGGACGGCGACGCAAGGATCCAGAGGGGGCACATGACATGCTCCTGCGATTTTTGGCCAGGCGGCTTCGCATCGACGCACTGGCTCGAGCGAGCGCGGCAGAACTCCCTGCAGCTCATGGACTTCTCGAGGATCGCATAGGCTACGCTGTTCTGACCGTCATCCTGCGGGGCCGAAGCATCTCTCCCTACGAGAAAACACAGAGACGCTCTATAATCTACGGGTCGAGCACCACCTCTAACAACAAAGCGATGGTTTGGGATCCCGGCAACACAAACACGGCCTAGCCAGTCTGCCTGGGTGACCTCAGAAGCCCGAAATACGATCTGTGGATTCTTTAGACTCACCAGCTTAGTGTATAATTCAAGTCGTCTAAACACTTCCAACGCTCTTTAGTCCCCCGAAACCCCAAACCCCAACTGCACACCTACACACCCTGACTCCCAAACCACTTAGGCCTGCAGCTGGTGGACGACGTCCCCTTCGTGCAGAGAAACGCACTCCCGCTCGCTCTCCTGCATCCCCAAGCCGGCTTTGTTGTTCCCTAACGAAAATGGAAACATGGACCCCCATT